TCCTACTTGTCAGACAGTGGAGGAGCCCACAGCCACAGGACATGCAAGGATTACAGTGACTATGTCAGGTCCCTCTCACTCTTTCTCACCCTCACCTCCCTCAAGATAGTTTCTGTTCATCTGTTCCATTTTACCGTGACATTTCCTCGTGACATCTGCTTTTCATCTGAGACTTACAAAAGAGTCCAGGTCTCCTTCATGGACTAGTCATACATTGGAATGGAGCCTCCTATGTTCCCTTGGCTTTTTTTTTTTTTTTTTTTTTGTGAATTTGGGTCTGCATGTAGGAACACGAAATATCAAATATCCAAGAGCAGCCACAGCTGTCAATGGGCAGATTCTTAAAGAATGTATTGAGCTGAAAACAAATCAGATTTTAGTAATTCACATTTTTAAACTAAAGGAAATTCTAAAACCAAACTCATTAAAAAGAAAGAAAATCCAAACATATCTAATTTAAAAGTTGCAGACTGGAGTATTTTGCAGAATTACAATACATTCACAAAATTAATTGCCACCAATATGGCAGGGGTTTGGTCCATCATTGTGTTTGAAAAAATGTTGTTGAGCAAATGCAGTAGGCTCATGGCAGGTGCTCTCCTGCCAGAGCTCCTAAGTGAGTAATATGTCTTGCAGTAGTTAATGTTTCTCTAAGACCTAAAGAATAAAAATAACACGAAAACAATATAAGCTTTTGTTTCTTGAACTATGCTTTAACTCAGGTTATTGTAGAGAATAGCTGAAAATATTATCCTGATCACCCTAAAGGCTTAGAAACTAGCAAGCAAATAATAAACACCCACACATTTTATATATGACTCTTAATATGACTCTTCTTGTTACTGTTGTTGCTGTATTCGCTACTTAGGAAAAAGCAAAACAAAATGAAACAAAACCAATGCATTTTTAGCCTGTCCTGTAGCTTTGGGTTCTGATCTCATAATATTTGTATGCCTGACCAAATTCCCTCCTGCTTTACCCTTCACCCAGCAATGTTTTTCTAACTTTCCTGTATTTTTCCCTCAGTATCACAGGTCCCCTCATTAATATGCTGCTGGTGTAAAAAAAGCCAGAAGATACATTCTGGTATGGAACCAAGTTTTCAAAGAAGGTCAGAGTAACAAATGCCAGGAAGCATCAAAAAAGACCATTCTGAATTCTTTTTTAATGTAGAAGTCGTCTTTTTCACAGCTGAAGCTAGCCAGAAGATTTCTGCTTCTCAGCATATCTGGTAAAAAAGATAAAAAGCTAAGAATTAAGTCTGTTTGAGTATACATATAACAGATGTTCCAATGAGTTCTGGTTCATTAGTTGCATTTACCAAACTCTTCGCTAACAATGATAAAAAGTAATACTAACCATGATGATAACCATATAGTTTAGTCTTATGCACAGATCTGCAACTTACAAATGTGGATATTAACAGCTCAATTTCAACTGTTTATTGTGTTTCAGAAATTCTGCTTCAGAGCTGCACAAATCCCACAGTTTGTCTTTCTGGCAATAACCTAAAGAAGCATCCTATGGGAGGTTTTCTTAAAAGGATGTTTAGGGTTTTTTTTTTTTTTTTTTGAAGCTTTAATTTAATGAAATTCAGATGCATGTTAAAGTTATGCACAAATTAACTATATTGAAAGACAATGGACCTTAACAGGTGTTAAAAACCATCTTGAATCAGCATCCATAGCCCATAAGAATGGATGGGAAATTGTGCCATCCTCTCTTCCAGCTCCCCACATGTTTGAGGAGTAGGGTAGGGTGGGTCAGGTTAGATCAGGCAAAAGGACCACTACCCTTGTTCTGTGTTAATTTATTGATATCCCAGGAAATCCCATGCTATAGAAGTCCAACAGCTCCTGCCAAATCTCAGCATGAGAAAAGTTCCTTCACAGTCCCAAGCTGGGCCACGGTTTTACCCACAGTTCCTGACCAGGACACTCCCAACAGAGCTCCTAAAACACAAGAAGTGTGCTTGGTTAGTCACCTTTAATAGCTGCAACAAAAGTGATAACACAAGAAGGCACTGGATAGTGTGGAGCAGGAAGTGCTGAGGAGCTGATGCACCTCATGGACAGCACATACTTGTGAACCATAGGGCACAGAAAAAATTGCTTTCCTCATAGTAGTTGTAATCTCAATGTTGTTGATGGCCAAAAAGGGTAACTCAGAAGCTAAGTGCTGGGACCCAAAGAGGGCTGGCAGACCAAGAAAGCTCAGGTATGTTTTTGCTAGACCATAAAAACTCTTATCTGTTTTAAGTGGGTTTTTTTTCTCTTTTTCTGAGGAACTCTGAATTAGGAGGCAGAAGCAGTATAAATTTATTGCCAATGAAAAGTAATCCAGTCTTGTTTCAGCTTCTCCTGGGTACTCAGCTGCCCTAAGATTTAGACTCACAAATTTGATTTCCTGTCTCCGGGGCATTAGAGAAAGGCAATAAGGTGAGACAGATGGACTCAAAAATCTTTTAGAAATCAAACAGCTTCAGAAGCAGAGACCCAGAAGTACAACAAAATGTACTTTTGGTTCAGAGTTTTTCTCTATTATAGTTTTTTTTCTGTTCATTGTGGTCCCTTGTTTCCCCACCCAGACAAAATGCAGCTATGATAACATGGAAATCCCCTGAGCAGCATAGCTTTGATAATAAGATTGTTCAGGTTCAACCAAAATATTATGTCTGAAAAGTCTTTTACTTTTAGTTTGCTACAGCTGAAACAGGAAAAAAGAAGAAAAAAAAAAAGATCAAAGTGATAGCCCACTCAATTATAAACAAGACAAATTTAAAGTCAGAAGGTATCATTTCCAGATAGCAATCAGTTTGCACAGGAGAACCTTCCTTTACTGATATTTATGGCTGAAAATGAGGTAGAAAACACCCCAAGTGTTTCTACAAGGTTTAATATTATTAAGCCAGGTGCTGAAATCCTTTTGCTGAAGCAAGCCATGGAGAGGCCTTAGAGATGTGAAGTTACCAGGACCCAATCTCATTGATTCAAGTTTGCCTTCAATGAACTTGGGTTAATCATAGGAAAATGGAGAGGGAGAGACATAAGGACTCCTAAAGTCCCACGAGCTGTCTCAGTCCTCTGAAAGAGGGTATTTACTGAAAGGATATCATGTGAATGGGGCAGTGATCCAAATAATTCTGTAAGTCAAGTCCCCCTCTTTAGCGAGGGTCAGTCAGGCTATGATACTTCCACCCTCAGAAGTTCCTTGGCCACATGCTCATCTCCTGCTCTGCTTTGCATGGGTGGTCACTGTGGCCTCGCAGTTCCCTCTCCAGTTTGCAGGTGAGAGGTATTGTAGCAGACGTCTAGACCCCACCTCACATTGGTCTCTTTCTAAACTCAGTAGAGAGAGATGAATATATTCAGGGGTTTAGATTGCATCTTTTGAATGTCTTTGTTAGGATGAAATGATTCATGCTCTCAGCTGGCTAGGTGAGAGCAAATAATGAAAAGCTCTGGCATTCACTGTAAATGCCTACATATTTACTATTGAATCCAAACCTATTTTTTCTATGTCTATCTAGACTTAGTGCAGCTTCAGGGAACACTTTGGTGGGGAGCCTCAGGTTCCTGTCACAAGGAGGGACTCAACACACGTGTGGGAGATACCCACCTGTAGTTGCCCATGCTGAGTCCTTGCAGAAAGAGGGTCATTTCTTCCCATTAAAACAGGGCAGGGGAACCTGCTGCTCCCTACTCAGGGCAGCAAGTGACACTGGGGGGCAGTCTCTGGTGTCCTGGCAAGAAAGACAGTTTTCTAGACATTACAGCGGAGCTTTCATCACTTCGGCACTGGAGCAGTTTAGATTACTTCCTTGCAAATGAAAAACTGATGCGGCTTCCTTAGTGAGTCTGATTATTTTTTCTTTTTTCTTGGGCATTTTTACCAACTTTGCCCTCGGTTTCCTTCATGCCTCTGACAAAAAGCTTTTTTCGTGCAGCCAGGGTTGTGCCAGAGCTTGCTCTTCCCTTTCAAGTCTTCAGCTCACTTGTAGCTAGCCACATCAGTCAGCTGTGTACATAGCCCTGCATCACGCTCTAGCATGCGTTGGTGTATACAGCCACAGAGAGTGTGTGAAGGAAATATTTAACACCTCTTTTTATCCTCCACATTATGCCTCTGTTTTGTCCAAAGCCTGAAAAAATGTGAGATGTAACTGCTTTGTTCTGAGGAGCTAAGTTTTGCAGAATTAATCTTTTAAATCAGCTTTTCTAGGTCAGCATTGCCTTATGTGGGACTTCACAGAATCACAGCATGGTTTGGGTTGGAAGGGACCTTTGAAGATCATCTAGCTTCAGCCTCCCTGTGTGGGCAGGGACACCTTCCACTAGAGCAGGTTGCTCAAAGCCCCATCCAAACTGGGCTTGAACACTTCAAGGGATGGGGCAGCCACAGCTTCACTGGGCAACCTCTCTCCATATTTCTTATAAATGCCCTTTATATGTTGGAGGGCGACAAGAGAGTCTCCCCAGAGCCTTCTCTTCTCTGGGTTGAACAACCCCAACTATCTCATCCTTTCCTCATAGCAGAGGTGCTTTATCTCTCTGATCGTTTCTGTGGCCTTCCTCTGGACCTGCTCTAACAGGTCCATGTCTTTCCCAGGTTGAGAGCTCCAGAACTGTATGCAGGACTGCAGGTGGGGTCTAATGAAAGCAGAGCAGCAGAATCACCTCCCTTGACCTGCTGGCCATGCTCCTTTGGGTGTGAACACTTAAATAATAACAAACAACAATCACTCTTCATGTTTCATATCTGGAAAATTTTTCTCCCTTGGACCCACTTACCTCCATTGAGAGGAAAGTGGACAAGAGGACTAAACCATGCTCTCAGGAAAATCAGCAGGAAAAATCCCACTAGCCAAGCCAGGAGCAGTGTCCATGAAACATGCTCCCCACTCGCTGGACTTGGTCAGATTTTGCCCAATAAGTCAACACGCCTGACACAGAAGGTCCTTAGTTTTGAAGGGGAAAGCATCTTTCAAAGTAAAAGCTCTGCAAGTATCTTCATACTGCTCCTGTGGCTTCCTGTTCTGCCACTAGTCATCCTTGTCGGCATGTTTACATTTCCCCTTGACTGAGGTCTCTTTATCAGGCAATGGGCTTGTTCTGCATCTAGTATAAAGTAACCAAGCCCAGGTTTCGCACACACATACTGCACACATGCAGCGTGCTCAGGATGACACAGACAAGTGCAGTATTGAGCATTTTTGCCCTGCTTCTTCACACCACTTTTGGGGAAAGTGGTTGCACTTCAGCAGATGGTGATGGTGAGTCAATTCATCTTCATCCTTCCTTTTGTGTAAGATCCTGGAAAACCAGAGTTAATAGATCAAAAATGCATCTGCTTGACTAAATGTGCAGTGTTTCAGCATTCAGACTCTTGATTTTAGTGCTAGTACCTGAGGCAGATGTGGAGCTGGAGGTTATCTATTTAATTTAATTGCTGAGTAACTCCTACATTCATATGAAATTAAGATCGTAGCTGTATGCAGAGGGTATGCAAGGTCAGACCTGTTAATCCTTTCTCATTGTATCTAGTGTTCGTGTGAGGAACTATGCCTGTGAACAGGTGCCTGCTTCACCCTTCTGGAGTCCATGCTCACTCTGATCTCTCATCAGAAAGGGGTGAGGTTCTGGTTTCACCTCTCATGGCAGTTTAGTTTTCTCCAAAGAAAACGTTTTAATGTGCCTCAAACTTGGCCCAAACTCTTACACTTCAAAAGCTAAACCTTTCCCCTTTTTCTTTAAGCAGCTGCATCAGGTATAACTGGTGGATAGTCCCAGTCTCCCTTGTAACATGGCTGAAGGAGCAACTCAACCCGTGGGTTCTCGCAGCCCATCACTAAGAGCATTCATACCTTACTCAATTATAAATTAATTCAACACTTTAAATTTAGGCTTATTGCAGATTTCATTATCTCAGAGAAGTAAAAATTATTTAACTGCATCAAAACAGAAAGAGAAGCAATAAACCCACTATTTCAGTCTGCTGTTCATTTTCTCAAAAGGGACATAAAAATTTGGATTTGCATATGAAATCCCAGATCTGTTAAACTCTTAATTGTCTCATACAAACCAAACAATAGTGACAGAGCTTATTGCACTGCATCTGAAGGACATTGGCAGTCTCTCAGTTACAGATAGTTTTAGGAGCAAAAAAGATTTTTGGATTTTGGTTTTTAGGAAGATAGTGGCTGTTTTCCTATGCTACCTCAGAGACAGGGAATCTCATTTTCCCATATATGCCATGTATTATAACACATGTGTATGTACACATACGTATAAACATGCATATATTTTCTTAGATAGGATATGTGTGTGTTTTTAGTTAGAAGAAAATGGAGTGGCTCAGAACTGCACCTAACAGCTTTTTTTTTCCTGTTTGCTTTTTATTTATATAGTCTGCAGCTGTTTAGAGCCAGCTCTGTCAAGCAGCTATGGTGGTAAATGGTCAATGCTAGTGATTTATTGTTGGTGTCACTGCAATCTTAAGGGCTTCTCAAAACCCAGTATGATCGGACCTTTCCTTGTTTTGTCACTAGCTTCCAGTAAGCCATAATTTACTTAGAATTAAAGAAAAACAGATTCAGAAAATCCCCACTTAACAATTAGAAGCTTTTATGATTTCCTTATGAGCCTCATGGGTTTGGACAACAAATTAAACAATACAGTGTAAAATCACCCTTTATGAATGTCTGGCTTTCACTCTTTGCCTCTCTGACTCACACTGTCTCCTGGCAAAGTGCCGCCTGCCAATGCAGGCATGAGCTCACCCCTTTTATGGACAGATGAGGGGAAAGCTCATCACAGCACTTGCCTTCATCCCCTCCTCTTTTCTGAGCACCTGTTCCCAGCCCAGCAGATGAGGTGGTGGTCCCCAAAGCCTTAAGAGAGCTACAAGCAGAGCTGAGGAAGTGCAGCCATGGAGGTGGAGGTGCAGAAGAGAATGGGCAGAGGGTGGAGGAGGCATCCTACTGTAGGGTCTTAGGGGCAGGACAGCTGGCTTCAGTGGTCTTCCTACACAGATTTATATGGCTTGTCCAACACCCATCAAAACTGTTGTGATTGAAATGAGTTCTTCTTGCACCAGATCAACAGTAAATATTTTGCATTACTTTGTTCATAGAGACAGTCACCTCCCTGACTGGAAATTCCATCATTAATCCTGCAGAAGCTTAGCAGTGCCTTTGGTTTCACGCATTGCTGTTATTCACAGTGGCTTCAGATCTTAAAGCTGAAGCATGTATAGCCTGTGCTAACATACTTCTCTTGGTAAAGGTTCATGAGATTCCTGCTGTGATCTGAATTGTCCTAACGTGTGTTATCCAGACCAAAGAGACAACCATTTCTGCAAAGCACCTTCCATGGCTGTAGCTATGAGAGGAGTTTTCTCTTCCTAGAATCACCCCCTCAAGCCCTGATTTCAGCCCAGCCAGGCTCAGGGCTCTGCCTGGTCTGGGGTTCTCAAGGAAAAAATTATAATTCTGTAGATTTTATTGTGAAAAATGTCCGTAGTAGTGTGAGTCATATTGCAGTCATCAAAACAGTTTACACAGCAAACACATTCATGCATGGTGAGGTTTAGGGAAGAAGTGCAACTAAGACTATGTGCATATTTACATCAGACAAAAAAATTGCAGTCTGCCCACAGAGGAACCATACCAGAAAAGAATTTCAAATTACTTACTTAACACTATTCACAAGGGTTAATTATCACATATTTTATGTTTAGGATGTTATTTCCATGAATAAGGAACCACATAATCACAATGTGAAAGTTCAGTGTCAAAGAGGTAAAGTAAGCTTTCCTTTTGGTGCAGTACCAAGGGTGCACTATGCTGGTTAAACCAGCCATAAGTGGCTGAACTGCAAGACAAAACCTTTTTCTTTTTCATTTTACAGTCATCCTAGTAGAGAAGTTCTTTACTGTGAGGGTGGTGAGGCACTGAAACAGGTTACCCGAAGAAGTGGTAAATGCCCCATCCCTGGCAGTGTGGACAGAGCCTTGGGCAACATAGCCTAGTGTGAGGCATCCCTACCCATGGCAGGGAGTTTGAACTAGATGATCTTAAGGTCCTTTCCAACCCAAACCATTCTATGATTCTATGATTTCTCCCATTTTTCAATGAAGGTAGTGGACAGCTGAAAGAGTTTCTTTTTATATTCCATTTATTAATATGATGATCATCAGTGTGTGTGTTTATGCAATATCTGGTATATGTAGTTTGCATTTGTACAAGCAGCACCAAGCAATTTTAACTCATAAGTTTAATGTTGCCTTGAGGTACCTGTGAGTATAAATAAGCCAGTCTCCCAGTAGTCACAATAAAAGTCTTAGAGAGGCATAAAATGTGTCATATCTGTGCATGCAAGATTTGGGTGCATTTATATATATAAAATATGTGGGGTTTTCCATTTTTATGCATATTCATGTCAGTTTACTTGTTATTCCCTGCATTTTGAATATATGTATACATATATGCACACACTTTCACCCACAAATATGTAACTTTATGTAAGTATATTACATATATTACAATTTCTGTTCTTTTATTTCTGCCCAGATGGCTCAGGGCTGTGTTGGTCAAGACTCTCACCTGTGTGAAACTGCTGTAGGGCTTGTTCTAGAGTTTCACTGACTTCTGTGCCTCTCTTTTGAATGCAACATTCAAATAGAGAGGCTTTGTACAGCACTTGCTGTATTCATATCCGTGCTGCACACATTATCCCCTCAAAACAGCAGCACTGTTGGAAGATGTTGCATTTTGTTGCTCTTCAGAGAGAGCTGGGGTTCCTTGGGGATAGACCCACCAGAACTGCTGTGAAAAGGCAAGAGCAGTAGTTGCTTCTTTGCACCAGTTGCTCATGCTGGCAAATGGCCACTAAATCTTAGCCTGGGGGAGAGCTCTGCCTGCAGGCACTGGACCAGTGCAGCATCAGATGCTCTCATCCTCCTGCTGCCTATCACAGCTGCACCTGTCCTAGCCCCTGCCTGTGCTCCTTTTGCATTTTTCTCTGCATTCCTGACTAACTTATGAATTTCTCCTCTTACTCAAAGCCCAACTCCAAATGCACCTAAGCTCCAAGGTCAAGAGGAACCACTGCTGATAGCGACCATGTGGAGTGATGCTCTTGACTTACATTTTAAAGCAATAAAAATAAATCTCCTGCTTTCTCCCGACTGTGAATCTATGATCAGCTCAGTTATGGTGGGTGAGGTTCATGAAATGAGGCTGAACTGGCAGTTTCTGCCAGAGAGGACTCCTCTCAAAAGCATTAGTCTTAGGTTCACTGACCTCATACCTTCCAAGTGTAGGACTTGAGACATTTGCTCTTAGTCAAACGATGATTATGTTATTAGTCACCAAAGCAAATTGCACGCATTCTGGCAGAAAGTCTGAGCTTTTCCTCCTGAGCCCAAATTTGGGACATTTAAGAAAACTTTGCAATAGAATCAAAATGGGGCTTACTTAGAATCATAGAAGAGTTTGAGTTGGAAGGGACCTTCAAAGATCATCTACTCCAACCTCCCTTCAATGAGCAGGGACATCTTCAACTTGCATCATGACACCAAAATACTCTTGCCTTCCTAAAACCACCCATGTAATTTTCCAGTCTTCTCAGTAACCCAGTGAAAGGCCAGCCCATCACAGCATGGGCAGGAGGACGCTCCTTGGGCACTTTTGGCCATCTTCGATGTGGCTGGTCCTGATGGCGATGAAGCAATGGCAATTGCTGAGAGTGCATCCTCAGCTGTGGGTCTGCTGCTTTGGAACTACAAGGTGTCTGATGTGCTTTCAGGCTTTCTTAAGCTGAAATTCCTATACAAATAACTCCAGTTGAAACTAGCCCTTGCTTTTCTCATTCTCATTGTTCATATGACCAATTCTCATATCCACAAAAATAAACTAAACTCTATAAACACCTCATTAAGATACTTCTCCCAAACTCCGTTAAAAAAATGAATGAGAGATTGCTATTCATTTTTCTTATTCTATCTATTTAAAAAATCTTGGGACATATGAAAAAATGTGCTAGGGGACACATAAAAAGAGAGGAGAGACAGGCAGAGAAAGAAAATACTGTCTTTTTGGAAACAAGAGTCACTTTCTTGAAGAAATAAAGATTTATTGTACAAAGTAAAACACTAATCACTGCAGTTTGCACAACAGCTCTGCCTACGGAGTCTGAATAAGACATACGTCTCCAACTTCTGTGTTTCACTTGCTCTTTCTATTTCTTTATTGTTTATTTGTTAGCCTTGAGCACCAGCCCCAGACACTTCTAAGAAGTTAGTGTGCAGAATAGATCCCCCAGTGCATGTTTCTGTTCCGTTTGTTTTCGAGAGTGTTTCAGTCCTTGACTTGAATATGCTGCTTTTCAACAGACATTGTGAACATGTCTTGCACCCCTTAGCGTGTCCAAGGATAGCAGCAGTTTGTGGTTCCTAATAGTGAAACCTCTCTGAGAAAGTTCTGAGATGATCTTCAGATGGAGTAGGTCCTGGTTATATGTTGGTGTCCTGTTTTCAGCTGTAACAGAGTTAATTTTCTTCCCAGTAGCTGGTGCCATGCTGTGTTTTGGCTTTAGCCTGAGTATAATGTTGATAACACACCGATGTTTAAGTTGTTGCTCAGTAGCACTTACCGTGGTCAAGGACTTTTCAGCCTCTCATACTCCTGCCAGCAAGGAGGAGTGCAGGAAGCCAGGAGGAAGCACAGCCGGGACAGATGTCCTGAACTATTCAAAGGGGTGTTCCATAGCACAGCACGTCATGGCAGTCAATACATAAACTTGGGGGAGTTACCCGCTGCTCAGATGGGGCTGGGTATAGGTCAGCAGGTGGAGAGCAATTATATTGTGCATCGCTTGTGTTTTCTGAAATTTATATTTTTTGTTGTTGTTCTGTGTTAGTATTATCAGTATTATTATAGTTGGCATTATCTCTATTATCACTGTATTTTGCAAATATTAAACTGTCCTTATCTCAATCCATGGGGTTTGCATTCTTTTGATTCTCCTCCCCATCCTGCTGGGGAGTGAGAGAGTGGCTGCATGGTACTGAGTTACCAGCTGGGTTTAAATCATGACACTCGCATAAAGTTTGTCCATAACTTTTAAAACAAGAATTTCCCTCCCTGTCTCGTACTTAGGAGGAATTGAACTGCAGAGCAGACAGTGTATTTTCTCTGTTTTGCATTTTGTATTGGGAGTCTTTCACAGAAGTCGATATCAACACCCCTTTTTGTCCATAGTTAATGAAAAAGAACAGACATGGGGTGCCTCATCTGTCCTAGCAATCTGCAACAGTGTGGGGTTTTTGTAGCTCGCAGACTGATGATGCAGAATGTACCTTTGTGTGTGGTAACTAAATGGGCTTCACTGGCAGGCAGGGAAAGCAACCTTGAAATGCCCAAGTAGCTTTTAATTTCATTTCTAAAAACGTCTCTTTGCTTTTTTATAAAACAGGTAGGTTGATCCTCTTACTTTCAGGCAATCAGATAAAGAAGCAACCCCCTATACAATGATGCTCCAAATGAAATACACTCATGAATTTGCTCCTGTAATAGCCTGCTAATCTCTTTTTAGGGACTTTCGGAGATGATGAACCAGACAATTTAGACATTGAATGCTTCAGCCAACTGGAATTTAAGGATTCCTATAGCAGCCTGACCTGCAATTTTACCGAGCTGCCTCCTCACAACACTAACTATACCCTGGCCCTGTGGTAAGTGCTGTTAGTCCATGTGTTGGTAAATTTCTAGGAAACGATGTGCTATAGAATCATAGAAGAGTTGGGGTTGGAAAGAACATTAAGATCATTAACTTCCAGCCCCTCTGCCATGGGCAGGGACACCTCACACTAAACATCTCACCCAAGGCTCTGTCCAACCTGCTCTTGAACACTGCCAGGGATGGAACATTCACAACCTCCCTGGATAACCCATTCCAGTGCCTCACCAATCTCACAGTAAATAACTTCTTCCTTATATCCAATCTAAACATCCCCTGTTTAAGTTTGAACCCATTACCCCTTGTCCTATCACTACAGGCCCTAATTAAGAGTCCCTCGCCAACATCCTTACAGGCCCCCTTCAGATACTGGAAGGCTGCTATGAGGTCTCCACGCAGCCTTCTCTTCTCCAGCCTGAACAGCCCCAACTTTCTCAGCCCTTCTTCATACAGGAGGTGCTCCAGTCCCCTGATCATCCTCGTGGCCTCTTCTGGACTTGTTCCAACAGTTCCATGTCCTTTTTATGTTGGTACACCAGAACTGCTCACAATACTCCAAGTGAGGTCTCACAGGAGCAGAGTAGAGGGGCAGGATCACCTCCTTTGACCTTCTGGTCACGCTCCTTTTGATGCAGCCCAGGATATGGTTGGCTTTCTGGGCTGCAAGCACACATCGAAGCCGGCTCATGTTAAGTTTCTCATCAACCAACACCACCTTCTCCGCAGGGCTGCTCTGAATCTCTTCTCTGCCCAACCTGTAGCTGTGCCTGGGATTGCTCCAACCCAGGTGTAGGACCTTGCACTTGGCATGGTTAAACTTCATGAGGTTGGCATCAGCCCACCTCACAAGCATGTCAAGGTCCCTCTTTATGGCATTCCTTCCCTCCAGCGTATCAACCAAACCACACAACTTGGTGTCATCGGCAAACATGCTGAGGGCGCACTCAATCCCACTGTCCATGTCAGCGACAAAGATGTTGAAGAAGACCAGTCCCAACACTGATCCCTGAGGGACACCACTCATTACTGGTCTCCAGCTGGACATTGAGCCATTGACCGCAACTCTGTGTGCGTCCATCCAGCCAGTTCTTTATCCACTGAGTAATCCATCTATCAAACTGATGTCTCTCCAATTTAGAAACAAGGATGTTGTGAGGGACAGTGTCAGATGCTTTACACAAGTCCAGGTAGATGACATCAGCTGCTCTACACCTGTCCATCAGTTCTGTAGCCCCATCATAGAAGGCCACCAAATTGGTCAGGCAGGATTTCCCCTTAGTGAAGCCATGCTGGCTGTCACTAACCACCCTGTTGTTTTTCATGTGCCTTAGCATGTCTTTCAGGAGAATCTGCTCCAAGATTTTGCCAGGCACAGAGGTGAGACTGACTGGTCTGTAGTTCCCCGGGTCATCCATTTTCCTCTTCTTGAAAATGGGGGTTATATTTCATTTTTTCCAGTCGTTGGGAACTTCTGACTGCCATGATTTGTCAAATATGATGGACAGTGGCTTAGCAACTTCATTCACCACTCCTTCAGGACCAGAGGAGGGATTTCATCATGCGCCATGGTGTCATGTTGCCATATTCTGGGGAGCAGGAGCAGCAAAGCTAGACAAGATTTTGTTTAAGACTGTTTTATGAAGTTTGAATACCATGTTCAGCAAAGAAGAGTTTAGTGAAACAGAACATAGCTCCCTAGTAAGGAAAGAAAACAGCTGGAAGGGTCTGTAAAGGGCATTAGAACATCTCCAATAGTCCTGATCTTGCCTTTGTTGCTCTGGAACAGCTCTAATTATGGATGTAGTCTAGCATGAATTGAGAAAACTTTTTCTTTAAATTAAAAGATATTTAAAAAATGCTAAACCTTCCTTTACCAAGTGGAAAGTAAAAATGTCTTTTGAAGAAGGAGATCCTTTCCACAAAAAATTCTTTGGCAAGAAGGCTGATTTTCCCCTGCAGGGAAAATGCCTTTATCTAGTGTAAGCAAAAATTAAGCAATTGTCTTCACACACACAGCCGTGCAAAAACCACTCTAGAATGAGCATACAGAAACCCAGCAGTTACCAAACACATCAGTTGTCTCCACTTCTTGTTAAGGTCTTGAAATTCTTTTCCACCTTTATGTTTAAACTGATACACATAGCTGAAGAAGGTCAGGTTTTGTTTTTTTAGTATACTTCTGCTTTGCCCTTTGCCTGTTTTTCCTGATACTGAAAGATCCATAGCAACCAGCATCAGATGTGGCTTTCTTTTATATTGCTAGTCTAATCGCTATTAATTTTTTCCTACCTAGTTTCTTAGAATTCGTCTGTTTTCATAAGATTCATTCTGAATTTTTACTGAAATTTTGTGACAGTCCTCAGACGTGGGTATCACACAGATGGAGGAACACACAGATGTAATTCGAACTCTGAAACTGTAACATATGAGTCCTTAACAGCCTGGCTGACTGTTGACCCTGTATTTGCTACCACTTCAGTCAATAAGAAATTTCTCTTTATCTTCAGTGAGCATCTAAACCTATTGCCCTGTATTCAGCAAAAGTAGCAGTAAGAAAATTTTTACAGTTACAAAGTTTTTTAACACATACATCTCCAATTTCATAACTGCATTTTCCTGGAGAGCTCCAGGACTCTTTCTGTGACTCATGTAATTCGATTACTGTGCTCAAAGACCACGAGGAAAAACATTATCAAACTTTTAAACCCCTTCTTTGCATGGCATTTTTTCTTAGTTCATGTGGAATCTCACTTCAGTTACTGTGAAATGAGTAACGAGGTTTCATCCCTTACTGTGTTATAGTAAGACTGAGAAGAAATTAACGTTGTGTCACTTTGGTCAACAGTACCAAAGAAGACAGCAATTACGTGTGCCTCAACATGGAGAAACAAGAAGATGTGTATTTCTTACAATTCACTGATATACTCTCAAATAAATACATTTGCATGGACTCTGAAATGAAGAGAAGGGTCTGCAGGAGTCTGGTGGTAACTGACATTGGTAAGACACTTAACATTTTGAACATTTTTAAGATACAGGTGTTACTGGGGAAAAAAGTAGCTCAGCTCAAAGCCTAAGCATCAATCTGGGTAACACAGAGTCAATATAAAGTAGTGTCCTAGCAAGTCACAGAACTTCGACTGGGGTGTGGCAGAGTGTGGTGCTCCCCTTGCTTCAAAGCCAAACATGACTAACTTCTGTGTCAGATCCCTAGGAAGCACTATCCCTGTTGGTTACACTGCTGATCCAGCAGGCCAAAAGCAAGCCCCTTTCAGGACTAAGGTGTAAGGATGAGCTGGGGCTCAGCATGAGGCTCACCCAGCTCAGGCCAGTGCTCGCTGAAGATAGGTCACCATGCAGGTGCTGTAACTTGAATGGACTTTTAATTTTTTCTTCCTACTTTTTGGAACCTCTTTATTTCATAGTAACATTGCTTTATTCCTATTACTTCCTTGTTATCGTTTGCAGTTAAGCCTGAAGTACCATTCAATGTAAATATCACGTACCAAAAGGAGGCAAATGAGTATCTTATTCATTATAGTACACCACACTCACGGAAGAAATACTTAAGTGACAAATTAATACACCAAATAGCCTATCGTCAGGAAAAAGGTACTTGGCAGGTAAGTAATGATGTATTGTTGAGCTTATACTATTTTCTGAAATTGCACATGATCAGAAATACCAGCGTCATGTGAAAAACTGCATTTCTATGGTTCTCCAGCTGGAAACTTGGACAGGTGCAATATTTGGCATTTAGAATATCCATCGGTCAAAACAGTTCCAGACTGGCAGCACCCATGTCTGTCAAGCACTTTTCTGGTCTAATGAAGTTCCATTCATTCAGGCTTTGCAGTGGGAAGAGAAGACATAATGTAACAAACCACCCTAAGGTTTGGATGGCTTGCTCTTAGCTTTTGTAGTTTTGCTGTCATTTTCTGTGCTCATCACCCAGTAAACCGTATGACCCCTTTCCTTACTTAGCAACAGTTTCCTTGTGTCCCTTTTCCACTGAGCCTCTCCCAGCTTCACGTTCAGCCCTGCAGCTCTCCCACACTCAGACCATGTTTAGGGCAGCAGCTCCCTGTGACCTGGATCTGGTTTGGGCTGCCTGGCTGCTGGGACCTCTGTGTCCCCTGTCACAACAGCAGCTGAGCAAACACAAGTGCAGATGTTTGAAAGCATGAACTATACCTGTTTTTTAAGCAGGGAACACAGGAAAACTGTAGCTAGAAAAAGAGAAGGATTCAGGCAACCGAATAAATTGAAATAAAGAGCTGCACTTCTTTCAGCTTATTTCCTATATTTGCTCTTTTAGAAGTTGCCTTTTCATGCTATACAAATGTATCTTTTCTCCCTCTCTCTTCTGAGCCTTGCCAGAGAAGCATGTGTGTCCCACTGCAGTATTGGCAGCAGCAAAGCACAGTTAACAGTTCCAGCTGTTTTCCAAAGAGATTTTACCCACTGCTTATTTCTTCTCTTGATACTGTCTGGACTACCTGTCTGTTAAGCTACACTGATGCCTCCATGACCAGCTGTGTAATAACTAGAGACAGAGCAAGTAGCACAGTACTGCAGGGATGCACCTGATCTTGCACATTTTGCTGAAAATCAAAGATGCTTTCCCTGTGTCTCCCAGAAAAATAATTCGATTTTTTTTTTGTGTGTTTAGACAATAGAGTCACCATACCTTCAGGTAAAATTACTGGGGAAAAACCTTGAAAATGATGCATCATATGAGGTGAAAGTACGATCGCAGCCCAACAGAGACTACTTTAAGGGAATGTGGAGCGAATGGAGCACTTTGAAGAGCTTCAGAACCACGAGGGAGCAACGCTCAACAGGGACTTGTAAGGGCAGAAACCACTTTGGTCCATCTGGAAGAAAGGGGAGCTAGGGACTCTTGGCTTCCTGGCCAGCCACAGTGGCAGCAGTGTCAAGAGCATGGGGAGGGATGAGCCCGTGGCCACTGCAGGGCTCAGATCTCACAGGCACTGGGCAACCCAGAGGAGATGACCCAGAAAGCAGCTGTATCAGTTTGCCTGGGGCTCACTCTCCATGTGTAATTAAATCTCACTCATAAGCAATACAATCAGATGAAATGCTGCCACAAGGGCATAAAGGAGGTTCAAAGGGAGGTGAAGTCTGACTCATTCCTGCTTGCTGCCTCTTGGCATGCAGGAAGAAGGACCAGCTTGCCCTGAGAATTTTAGTTAAGGCACAGAGAGTGGTGAAACACAACACATTTCAAGGTCCTGGACTTGTGTGTGAACATGGCACTTTCATCACAAATACGATAAGCAATAAAATCTCATAATTGCACTTGTAAACATGAATAATTCTCTTGGTCCTTGGGGTCCCTTCAGTCCCCAGGGGCATCTTGCCAATATGTGTGTTAGAAGACACTTCAGTTCTGCTGCAAGGATATGGCAAGTGGTAGCTTCAACACAATGGAGGTGACAGCACTTTGAGCTGCTTTAATCCAACCTGGGAAGACAGCCTGGAGCTCAGACAAAGGCTGATACTCTGGCAGCCTACTCTTTCCTCCTTCAGAAATGCAGGAGAAATGTACCACTACAGAGTCCAACGAGACGCAGGTGCAATGCTTGGCATTAATTCCTGATTTATTGTCTGAAGAGACATTACAAGTTACTGTTGCTTAACGCTGAGGCATTTATGTGCATTGGCTGATGTTTTTTGTTTTTCTTTAGACAGCAGTGTGGTTGTGGTTATAGTTTCCATCCTGGGATTCATGCTGTCCGTTGTCATGATTGTCCTGACCGTAACTTTTTGGGAAAACAGGTAATCTAAGCCCCCCTTATATCAGAAAAAAAATATTGGAAATCAATCCTGTTCTGACAGTCTTATTACCTTCCCTGTTTTATTGCTATACTAAGGAGTATGGTCTTTCCATCTCTCAACTTCTACATTAAGACAAAGGCAGGCAAAGAGTAGAAGTGGACAGTACAAGAGAGGGTGTTGGCAGGCAGAAAATGACCTGTCGCTTTTAGCATACTTCAGTCTGGGGATTGAAACACTGGGACCTTTGGGGAGCTGAAGTCACCACAAATCCAGAAAAGAAAGCAACCTGCCTGCAGATTTTAGTAAAGTCCCAAGAGATGTAGAAACAGTCTGTCAGGGAGATTGCCTCTTTCCCTTTCATAGCCTGAGTCAGCAGGGTGGTTGCTCTGCAGCAGTGTCAGAAGCAGCATCACAGAGCTCTCTGCAGCAAGGGCTTGATGGTGTCAGCCACCTCTCCAGATACATGGTGAAACATCCCTCACCAAAGCAGCCATGGCAGAAGTGGGACTGGAGGTACAGTCATTACACAGGCAGTCCTTTGTTTTGGGTTTTCTTCATATATCAGCTACACAGCAGCAAATAGTTGTAAATATGTTTTAAAATACATGGCTGCATATGCTTATATGGAATAGATAATGACAAACTAAAGACAATGAACACATACATAGATAACCTGGTGAAAGCAGAATCTGAAGTGAAAGAAATCCCAAGTGCATAGGAAATGAACCCCTTGCAAGACAGAAAGCCCAGGACTGTTGTGTGGCATTCATAACAGCATGTCTGTGGCATCCAGCTCCACTGACATCCAGAGAGATGGCTGAATGTAAGCTGCTTTTTGAGGACAGCACTTGGCTTGTACTAACTCCTGAATTACACATGGGGAAATGCCTGGAAATGTGCTAGTTGGCCTTGATGAAACCATGCCAAGAACTATTTTAATATTTAACATTTTAGACACTGGACTTATCTGCCAGGTAACACTCCCTTGGTCCTGTTTTATTTGCAAGGATAGATGTGGCTTGAGATTTATATATATCTTATATCTTGCTTTTTAGTGTTGCTGAGCTCCTGCAGTTCTTTAACTCTGCTAGAAGATCAGTTAAAGTGCTAAATAAACAGGTGAAACTGTCTGGACACAGAAGGATTTATGCATGTGCATATTTACACACATATATGGCACATTAAAAAAAAAAAATAAAAAAAAACCCAAAATATGTTCATTTACACCTATAGATACATCATTGCAACTCTGAATGTCAGTCAGGCAATATTCTCTAGATGCTTCATAGCAGAGTGTTTCCAGCAGCACAAGATGAGAACTTTGATAACTGAGGCAGTAAAAATGAGACCTGTGGGACAAGACTACAATACAGATACCAGAAACACAGATAGCTAGCCAAGGAGTGGTACAATATGCAGATCTTTGAAGTAGGTAAACATGTAGAGGCAAATATCAGCAAATTCGCACTTTAACCACAGCAACATTTTTCACTTTCAGAAATTGGTTTCGCTAGGAAAAACCCTGTTAACATAGTTAGATGCAAATGAGTTGTTTGCCAGCACAGTATGCTGCTTTTCCAGTACTTGGTAAAGTGTTTTCCTTTAGCTGGGACAATTGGTTCACTCAAGAGAACAATGACTATTCAGTGACCTTTATAACTCTCCTTCTTCAGTCTTTTATTCTGAAACTTCTCTGTTATTTTTCTGTGTAATTACACTCAGCCCTAAGGCTTTGTGAGAATTAATATAAAGAACCCAATATGAACATATCCCTCTTTTGCTGCTGTTGAACACCTTTTTTGTTCACTATTGATGCTTTAGGATCAAGCCTGCTGTGTGGCCAAACCTTCCAGATCATAAAAAAACGTTGGAGCAGCTATGCAAGAAGCCAAAAAATGTATGTACTTCCTATTGTTGCTTTCACTGGAGTATAGACTACTGCAAACAAACCTACCACTCACAAGAGATAGTATGTGCAGTTGCTGGAGGATCTGAGACATCATTCTGAAATTACTTCTACATTTCCCTGAAGAGAGCCCGTATTTGCACAGGCAGATGCTAATCAGGTGTAGGGAAATAACACACAATTCAGCTAGTGCCTGAACTTTGACTTGTGTGAAGTCAAAGAGGGCTGGAGAACTTGATATATGAAGAAACGATGAAGGAATTGAGTTTGTTTATAGAAAAAAGGAAACTCAGCTCAGGGTGAGGACTAATAATTACAACCTTCCAATACCTAAAGTGTAGGTAGGGAGATGGTAGAGGTCCTCTTGCCACAACAATGCATGGAAACAGGACCAGAAGCAACAGGTTTATGTTGCTTCAGGGCAAACTTCATCTGGATATAAGGAAGAAATCTTTCTCCATAACAATTAAACTTTGTGTAGGTTGCCCACAGAAAAGGTAGGTTCTCCTTTGCTGGAAGGGTTCAAGAGTAGGGTGATAAGGATCTGGATGACCCAGTCCAGGTCCTGCTTCTGGCAAACGGTCGAACCAGTTGGACTCCAGCAGTCCTTTCCAACCAAGACGCTTCTGTGATTCTATGAAACTAATTGTGGGACTGGGTGAGGACCCTTTGCAAATGTCCCTGGTAATGCCCATGTACCCTTACACAGCCAGCAGAGTTGCTCATACACATGTATGACAGTACATGAACTGCCCTGCCAGATAAAAGCCAGATGGACAAATACTACAAACCATAAGGTGAGGCAGTAACCTTAAAAGTATGTGCCAAGCGCGTTTTTTTTTCCACTAAGAAACTCATCAGCTCTGTTCTCTCCAGTTGGTACATTATTAGCATGTTCTGCTCCGGAGCCAGTTTTAGGATCCACATGTAGTTCTGCTAGTGTTTTATATTAATTTTTAAATACAATAATATTTAACAGGAGGTCTAAGATGACTCGCCCACCCCCCATGCTCCCCTGTACAGGGTTCCTATTGTGTTTGAGGAAGTCGTGGCAAACTTTTACTTCCTTCACTGCAAAATTAGGAACGTAAAATTGAAAGGAACGGACTGGGTTGGCACTCATTCCTGTGAGATGGCAGGTGTGCAAGTAGATGTGCAGCTCAGAAAAGCCTCTGAAACACCAGTTCCCACCACATTGCATACAGCATAAAGCACTCTTCAGTGGTGCTGCTTGTAGGAGGACAGTGGCTATGTACAGATTAATATGGAAAAGGATTTCAAGTCACCCAATATTTTATTCTTTGCTAACCTATTGTTTAACCTGCTCCAGGTTACCTTCAGGGTTGAAGAAATAATAAATACCCTACTAAAATAAAATGAAATATCAACGTACATTTTCTTTTAGGCTAATACCCACTGTTAACTGACCACGCTGTTCCCTTTGCCATGCAGAATTTTGATATAAGCTTTAACCCAGAAAGCTTTGGTTACGTTCATATCCATAAAGTGGATGGCATTCGAGCAAAAGCTGAACTGGAAAATTTTCTGCAGTCACCAACTGCTTCAGAGACAAACCTTCCAGAAAAATTTAGGAACAGATCAGACCTGAAGATGATCCCTGCAATGACAGACAAAAGCAACTTAAGCCTGTCTGTGACTTACGGAGAAATCTGGCCAGCTGAAGCCCTGCACAGACTCCTGGATACAAGACAGTTTGCAGCCACTGAAGGAGATGGTGACTCCAGCAGATACGAGGTGTGCCACAGCAGCAGGATGCCCCTGTGCCATGATGATTTCAACCTTTCCTCTGCTCCTCCCCCACATCCTTCCAGCCAGCCTGGACCACAGCCCCTACATGGTGACACCAGTGACACCATGTCCCAGATGCTGCCTAACAGTGAAATGAGGCCATCAAACAACGAAGAAGCCTATGTCACAATGTCTACCTTCTACAGAGTTCAGTAAACCTTACAGGAATGACAGCATATCTCTTTTCTCTAACACAAGCAGAGCACTGAAGCTTTCTGTTTTGTTTTCCTGCATCCTGTGAGTTCCGACCTCTGCAATGCACTGCTTGCAGTGCTTCACGGTACCTGCAAGGAAATTGGTTCTCCCACATTTCAGTGATAAGTGGCCCAACTTCAGCTCTCAGTATGCCATTAACAATCTCCACTGAGCAGAAATTAAATTTCAATTCAACCCGACTTTAATCTTCAGATCTGATTAATCCAGAGCAATGACACTGCAGTCCTAGCTGAGGATCACAGCAGGTCTTGTAAAAGATAATGAACTCCTGTTAACCTCTTGGTTGCAGAGTTAAGGTTTTATTAATATCTAAGCAAGAAATATGTCAACAAATTCAAGCTAAATAGAATCCAATCTCTTTCAAACAGTGGTAGGTCAAGGACAACTTCTCTGTAGTCAGTGGAAGTCCATGAGTTTATGAAACACCAGTAAATGAAAATTGCTATCAAGCATTAGTTGCCTGGGGTTTCAGGAGCTTAGTCATTGCAAAGGCAGTTTGCTGAGCCCCAAGGAAAAAGGACACATGGATTCACCTTAGAAGATGTTTCTCAGAGTGATTTTTTCTTTTTTCTTTGAGCAAAAGAGATTAAAACAAGGTAAAACCTTACAGCCACTACTTTTTACTGTTGAAGATCTGCCCTGGAGCCAGTTTTAGGATCCACAGGTACTTCTGCTAGTGCTTTATATTAAAGATCTTCAGCATTTCATGTACTAGCAATTTTTAGCTAATAAACCAAAACAAAATCAATGAAAAGCAAAGTCCCATCTCTTCCTGTAAACTATATCTGGGCAGTAAAATACATGATGTTGTCTTTCTCTGCAGCTCTTGTGCAAGCATTAGTGCAGCATGTAGGTACTTGCCAGGACAGAAGGGCTGAGTGGACCATATTTGTTTACTAGTGGTTTTTCCAATGGATTTGGCTGCATGAGAATACTTTCAATTTGGCCAGGTAATGTCATGGAACAGTACAACAGTGACCTAGGAAGATGGATGGATGGATGGATCCTGCCAGTGATTAGAAGGCTTACAGTTTTTAGAAGTACCTTGTAAATTGCCTGGAGATAGCATTTTATTATCCTTTTAATTTTTATTTTTATTTTGCATTATGATGGTGGAAGGCATCCTGTCCCTTCCTGCTCACCTTTCCCTGGACTCTGGGCCCAGCTCTGATGGGTTCCTCTCATACTGCCATGCAGAGGTGGCTGAGCCACTTGACAGTCCCTCTGAGATGCTGCGCATTGCAGAGCACACACTTGGAAATAAGGCTGCTACAGCCACACGGTTGCATGATAGCTGAGTAGTGTGGCCATGGGAAATCCAAGCTGCTCTGCTGCACTCTGGAGTTGGTGACTCTTCACTGTCGCCTCACTGTGCAGTCTCAGTTCCTCTAGCTGCTTGAAACTATCTTTTACTGAAATGTATTCACATTCCCGGAGTCTAAGGGTGAAAGAGTCCTCTGTTATCATCAGAGCTGCTCAAATTTGTTCTGACTGGTAATAATCACAGAGATTATTACAGAAAACCTGTATTTGATGTAGCCTGATGGAGAAAAACAGCACTCCCAAGACTGCACTCCACCTTCTCCACTTGGACCCAACAGCAGCGAAATCTTGAAACACGGACAGCCTTATAGTCCCTGTGTGCAAAGGGGATGAGTATTTGGCTCAAGGAATTCCAGTGACATTTACAGAACGGGTTTTACTGCTGTTTCTCATTGAATGGAACCTTGATTGTTGCAGTAGAAAAGATGAAAAGCGCTGAACGTTCATTTGCTTCATAATGCTTGTATATCTTTTTTTAAAGAAGCTGCTGGTAGTGCTCCTACTGTGCTGTCTTGCACAGTGCAATTGTAGATGCAGACAGAAATTGTGCTGCAGAGATTTCTTCTTCCAGTAACATGGTGACAAACAAAATGGGGATAGAGGAAGAAACAAAAGCACATCAGAAAAAATCCTGTACAGTATGTGCTATGCTTGTTGCAATTTTATATCCATTAGCATAAATGTGATGGTGTGTACAGATATAACCACTTGTAGCTTTATTTTGGGATAAAAGAAATGCAAATATGCTCCAAAGCAAGAAGTACCACAAGCACTTCAGGTCCATGGTCAGCTTTTGGTTGCATAGTACATACATGAAGATACAGCCAAAGCTATGTCTTGACAACACTTCACTGAGTCAGGACCAAGTAGCTTCCTTATTCTACAAAACAGTTTCCCCATAGCTGTTCACAAATTCCCATCTGTCTCAACATCCACACAGGGATGTCCACTCGGATTTCACATGCTCCATGCACCTTCTTTAATTCAGCATAACCTTCCTGTTCCAGACGTTCTGCCTTTAATGCTATACGCAGCTGCACACACAGAAAGAGGGTGGTGACCCTGGCTTGTACGTATCTGCTTTATGACACCATGCCTGGAGCTGCCATCTCCTCTCGGCATGTACCCATCATGCTTTGCCACCTCTTCTGTGCTTATGGAACAACACAACTGCTCCCCTGTCTGCACTTCTCTCCCTTATCTGTGCACAGCTCATTTGCACCATGCAAACAGCTCCTAGCAGCGCACAGACGCTAATCCGTGAAATAAAATAAGTCTTTTGTCAGTTGCAACACTGAGTCACCGTCTAATTTTAATGATGCTGAAAAATGTTGATTACCTCTCAAGGCGATAATTGTCCCCTGCTGAGTTTATTAGTTTGTTTACCTCCTTTTGTGCACATTCGTTAGATGAGCTGATAAAGAGCACCGAAATGCTTTGTGTATCAGTGGGGAGGTAGACCAGCTAACCCTGGGGAGGCAGGGGAACTTCATGCCAGAGCAAAGGGATGTTTAAATGCATGTGATGTGCAGTGAGGTCTGTGCCATGAAACGAACGGTGAAGGGTTGGTCCCTCTGCTGCCACAGGGACATGCGGCTGAATTTGATGCAGTTTTAAGCAGGAACAAGCTGACCATGAAGCCGTACCATCTTGCAGCAAGGGACCTGGTGATGCTGGCAGGGTATTGCTTCAGAGCAGGAGTTCATCTCCTTCCACTTTCCTTAGCAAAAGTGTTTATTGACTCGAAGTCCTGTATTTACACACTGATACCATAGTGCTGCAGCCGGGGGGGACAGCAGCAGGTTTTTAGTCAGTATGATTTTTGCTCGAGCTAGTGATCTCTTTGGTTGTGATTTTCTGAAGCTATCCTTTAAAATCAGCTAAAACATGACATAAAGGAAGTTTATCATCTATGTGAGGCATTAGTTTACGGTCAAGCAGTTCCTTATTATTGTGATAATGAAGCCTCCTAAATTAGCACTCCCGTGTGTAACAGGACATTGGCAAAACAAATCTAATGTGCAGATACACAACAAAACAACTAATGATGCCAGGAAATGCAACTGCTAATTTGTACCGACCCTGCCGTCCCCTTTCCCACCCAGCAGCTCCAGAGTTCAGTAATGCCGGCTGCTTCTTGTCTTGCTAGCGCCACCTGCTGAACGAAGCTACATGTGAGAGGAGTCCAACACCGAGACACCCGCTGTTGCCATCATTAAGCTTTGGGAGCAGCGATCAGACGGGAACGTGAGAAAAAATCTCAAACCCGCAATGAACTAAACAGTGTTTCACTTCTTTATGGTCTCTGGTCCCCAAAAAGCTGGGGATAATGGAAGAAAAGGTCAGTTTCCAGGATTTCTTCATCATTAAAATGAAATAGGCATCACTGTCCACAGAAGCATGAACTGCATAGCAGTTCAAAAATTCATCTTTTGTAAGCTAAGAATGAGAAAAACAGTGTTTATGACGTGTGGTGGCTCTGTGTCCCAAAGCAATATGTTTCTGTAACACAGCCTCGCATTTTGCAAATAATTATTTTTCATCTTCCAGAGAAATCTGATTTTTTGGTCAGACTGCCCTAATCTGACATTAGGAAGCATCCCTGCAGGAAGCTCTCATACAGCATTAGGTCCAATAACACTGAGGTTAATGGACTAAACTTCTTGCATCAGGAGACAGAGCTGTTTTTATGTCCTGGAAAAATGAATATGAGAAAAGTTATTGGTAAATATTAACTTCATTACTTAGATGTCACGATGACATCAAGTTAGTCCAGCATTAGCACCATCACCAAATAAATGCAAGAAGCTCCAGAAAAAAAAAAAAAAAAAAAAAAAAGAAGAAACAAGCAGAAATGTATTGATGAAAATGTCTAAAGGAATAAATCTATGCCACAAAGCCAGAGCTTCTTAAAAGCAATTGTTTCCCAGAAAATGTGAGCTAAAAAAAAGAAAAAACCCAATAAAAAAATCAAAAAACAAAACAGAAAATTGTGAATGTTGAAGTATCAGTTGAAAGTAAAAAATAAATACATTGCAGCTTTTGGCAAAAATATGTCTTCACTGAAAAAGAACAGATTTAGCTCAAGAAAATAAACACTGCTCACATTTTACCACAAGCTCTGACTGAAAACTAGGCTTGATTTAACTTTCACAAAACACTGCATACCTTTCTTTATCATTTTTCCTACTTGCCAAGACAGTCAACAAACTCTGGATCCCATCCCTGTTCTCCAGCTGCAGCTCCCGTTGGGATCAACGCCAACATTGTATGCATGGAGGAAGCCTCAGTCCAGGTTTCCAGGGATGGCCTTGCTGTACCTGGGGTCCACTGCAAACCAGTGAGATGAAGTTTTTGCATCCTGCATTGCTCCCGCCTCCTGCAGCCTCTGTTGTCAGAGCTGAAGAGGTGCTAGAAGAACCAAAACGCTTGCTTTGCCATCACAGGCACCTCAAACTCAGCAGTATGGGGGACTGTTTCAGTTACTGTTGCTGCTTTCAGCTACCTGAGGACTTAGGTATTAAGTACAGCCCACTCGGAATCATGCTTTCTGCTCACTCTCCCCTTCCTCCTGAGCTGGCTGTGAGAAAGGATTTCTGGAGAAACAGGAGGGGGTTTAATCATAATGAAAGTCATAGTGGGCAGCTGCCGATGGCAGCAGGATGCTCTTAGCGTTAGCTGGTTTACCAGGGAAAACTGAGTCTGCTGCTGCTGCTCCCAATGTGGAAAACAGGAACTGGAAGGCAAAAATAGCCAAAATCTCAGCTGGTGACAGTGGAGCCATGAGCCCAGCTCTGGAATGGCAAAGATCTGCTCTGCCTATGCAGCTGCAGAGGCTTGAG